ATCTTTTGAACTTATCATGGTAAATATTCCACATAAGAGATCTAGTCTCGTGTGCTTCAGAGGAGGGTTCAGTTCTTGCAGCTAAATTTTCCGCCACGTAACTCATCACTTTTCTAAGGTGAGTAGGTATCATTTTCATCATAGCCATTTTCTTGTTTATGAGTTAGGTTTTCTGGGTTCCTTCCGTTCATAAGTTCTTAAACATTTTGTATCCAGAATTTCGAAAATGTAACTATGAAAGATTTAAATTGCGTCCAGCATTAGAACTCGTAAAGTACACCGACGGTCACATCCGTGATTGCTCCAGGTACTATTCTCTTTGGGTTAATTTGCTGAAATGCACGTGAATTTTCCATTCTTTCTAAATATGAAATTATCTTAATTGGCAATTATCTTAATCTCTCTCTACAGTGAACAGTCTTATAACACACAGATACGTTTCTCCGAAATTGTAGAGACGTCTGAAGAATTCAGCTGTATGCTCCGTTAACCCCTGTTTGCAAACGAACCGATAAATATTTCTGTATATATCGTGATCTCATTATTCAGCATTCGTCTCCTTCCTGAAATAGAGACGACACGCGTGATGTATGTAACACAGATGCCATTTGTTCCAGCCTGATTATGTCCTCTGCGGAACAAGTGCAAGAAAGGCTTAAGCCTCGCAAAATATTTCCGAACTGCGTTGTCTGCAATTTTTTAGTACCCACCACTGATCAGATAAGCATTTCTTTTGGTGGCACCTTTACTGATGCAAAGCAGTCGTGCTATTGAAATCGCACTCTAAGGCCATGAAATGGTTTATTCATAATGTTGTATTTTAGCGTCCTGTTGCACTGATTCTCGTTCATGATATAATATATGTGTTGACCGTCTTTTGTGCACACAATCTCACATGTCACTTCACTACATGTTTCGGCATCACTGTGCCATCTTCAGGTGTGTTATTTACGTTAAACTATTGCACTGCTCGCCATCATGTGTCGTTTATAAAATGATTTAAAACGACACATGATGGCGAGCAGTGCAATAGTTTAACGTAGGTGACACACCTGAAGATGGCACAGTGATGCCGAAACATGTAGTGAAGTGAATGTGAGATTGTGTGCGCTAGAAGGCAGTCAATACCTACATATCATGGTTTATTCATGTTTCATTAAACATTAACCATATCTAGGAATGTTTCAATTTAAATTTATTGGCTTTAATGTTTTTTATCTTATGAAGCTCACAAATTGTTCATAAGTTGATCAGATTCCTGAATAAAATTGATGCTAATTTTGAACTTAACATAAACTAAACATTAGACCGGACTTACAGGAAAAAAATTGAATTTGTCCAATTACGTTATTTTAAATCTTAAAACACCAGTTCGGTTCAGTAGTTCAGGAGAAAGGAAAATGCGCTCTGGTAGCCATACACCACAGTCAGTTAATTTATTTCATTCAATTTTTGCAAAATAAAATAATTTCTTAACAAAGGCTGCTAGCCTTTAAAACACTGCTTCCACATTCCCTTCATCCTGAAATATTTCTTAGTGCCCCTGCCAGATAATACAGGGAGGATTTTTATTTTGTTGACCTGACGAAAGGCTCTGCGCCTCGGTAGGGGGGGGCAGTGCCCCGCTTGCTGCGAGCACATACGAATTTTGCCTATAAATCAGCATGACTGACGGCCGATAACGTTCAGAATGAAGGAACGTTCTTATCTGTGCTCACAGGTGTTAAAAATGCTGTCCCTCTACATGTAGATATTCCTCGCACCGGCGGAAGAGGTTCCCATCTACCTTTTGAAGTTCTGCAGGAATATTTACTATTTCCCTACCAATATTTTCTTTTAGTTCTTCCCTTCGGAGGTTACTATTATAAACTTAATCCTTCAAACACAAGAAGAAAATATCACAATATTAAGTTCAGACGAACCTGTTGGCCAAATACACAGCTGATAATTATGCCCCTGAAGACATCGGAGAAAGCCTGCTTACATACACGTGCAGTGTGGACAGTAGCAAGTTCTTGCTGAAACCAGTCATAGAGCCTTCCTACTTCTGCTAACTCTGCAAAGAATTGTCCGAGAATGACCTGTACATTTTTTAGCAATTAATTGTAAAATAAAAAAAAGTAAAGCTATCCCTGTAACAGGCCGTGAAGGCCCATAGGGCTGTGAGACGTTGAGGGTCCCACATTATCTAGGCCAAGGGTCTCCAAACTACGGCCCGCGATGTGATTTTATCCGGCCCGCCAAAGAATTGTGCAGAAATGCGCCAATTAAACTAATTTTCCAACGAGTACTGGTAAAAACATACTTGTTCATAGATTTCAACTGATGTTTGTAATACCTCTCAACTATTAGTATTTTTTTCGTGGCGTCGGCGATGAACTTAATGCACACAAGAATTAGCGTCACTTCAGAACATGCATGGCACTACAACAGGAGATGATATCTTCAAAGAAATACAAAAAACACTAACAGAATATAATTTGGACTGGAACCGTCTGCAGTGCGTGACAGTTGATGGAGGAAAAACATGTCTGGTATAAAAATATGTTGAAAGTGAAAGTGCTGAATTACCTAATGTGGCCCGCGGTTCGAAAAATTTGGAGACCCCTGATCAAGACAATCGGCTCAAAGATGGCGGTAAGGTTTTCTCGCCGGCCGCACTTTACTACACAGGAAAATTATTTAATTCCTGGTACTCATTTCTATTAGAGCCTGAGACAACCCCTGGGACATAGTGCGGCCGGAAGGATTAGGTCAATTGAAAATAAATACAATGACCTCATCGGGACTTGAACCCGCGACCTTCCGGCTTGTAGCATAATGCCTCAACCAACTACTCTACCGCGTGTTTATAAGTTTATTCACCAAATTGTGAATTGTTTGTCTGTTATGCAGAAATACGCGTTGCTCTGAAGTATAGAGCGCCATGGCATATCACATTTCTCACCAACTGTTAACTAAGAACAAACTGCTAATGGAGCTGATAACTGCTACCTATTGCTGACAAGTCATAAACAAACTCTCAAGCATGAACAGCACTGCTCGTCTTGACATAATGACTTCAAGCGGTCCACAAAGTTAACAACTTCCCATAATTATAAAAACGTTATCGGCTATCAAGCATACTGATTCATCGGCGAATTCCTATACGTCTCGATGGTACACCGGTCGCCCTGAAGCGCCGAGCCACTAACCGGTCAACAATGTTAAAACAAATTTCTGTAGTATTGAAGAAACACACAAACAAAACAAAAGCCAGTCAGAAAACTGTAGAAACAGATGGCTATATGCCCACAATTACTTCCCTTGTGCTTTCCCATTCTCATATCCTCTGCATTAGTTGCTTTCCGAAAGGCTTCTGCATAATTTTTTTCTACCCAAGCAACAAAACTGATTGGCCAAAACCTTCAGTGAACGACCTTTCTGTGAGCTATGAAATCGAGTGAACTGGCTGAGAACCACAAGCAGAATCATTAATTATATTGGCAATGTTACTGTGCCGGTTAATTAACCGGCAGTTAAACCATACTCGATAAAGTGTCAAGTCGTTGAGGTTTTTGTTTTCTGATAGGTAACCTTGAGGTTCGAGCAGACAATATATCGATATTGCATGATCGAAGCTCGCGAAGTTTGTTGTCAGAACACGTATAGTGTACCGAACACTATCTGAGGTGCTTATGGAACACCTGAACTAGAGTCGGTTGAGTAATAGTGCATAAATATGAACATACAGACCAAGTTGCCATTAGAACAGTTAGGCAGTCATCAGTTATATATTCGAAATTTCATTTTTTTAATACAGATTATGACTGTATCTGTGGACTGATTTATGGTACGGTCTGTAGTTAAGTTACGTGAAAATTATTTTATTTCCACGTTCATTTTCTTCGCCTGTTTTTATTAAAGAGTATCGACATGGATGTAAACAAACATTTCTCTTTCCATTACTAGCATAAAACGTAAAATTGTCTCTGTGCTTAACTAATTAAGCACTTCTCCATGAAGGCGTATGGGGGAGTGGATGTAGAGATCAATGTTTGTTGACCTCGATCAAGTTGGAAATGAGTGGTCAGCTTCACGCCTCGGAAGTTTTACCCCGGAGGAAGAGCCCTCTGTACCCATTGGATACGAGGCTGGGTGAGGCCCAAAATCGGTTTGGATGACGTAGAGGGGAGAATATTCTCGCCTCTAACGGGACTCGAACTCGACCCCTTTGTTCATCAAGCCAGTAGGTAATCGCTCTACCAACTGCGCAATCCTGGCTCCCACCATAATCAGGATAACCACCGTCAACCACGCTTAAATGTAAGGGAACTTAAATCTTCATTAATAGATTCCTGTCTTGACTGGATCTCGTATTATCCCATCATTTCACCTTCCATGTAATACTGTATTACTGTACGTCATTATTTATTCCCGTCTGAATTTTTCTGAATTTAAATTATTCTGTTAGTGCTACTTTAATCTTAAGTTTATCCAACGTGCCTTGGCTCATTTCATTGTTTTTCTGTTCCTGTTGCTCTTCATCTGAATGATAATGTATGCTGTTCCCTCAGAGTGAGAGGTCTCGTGGGGTAAAAACATAAGAAATGACTAAATTAACTTCTTTTTACTTTGATCTTTAGAATTCCTAAATGTAGATCTCTCTGATGGCATTTACTGTCTTCGGTCGCTCGGAAACCGGGATCGTTGGTACGAATCACACTCAGAGCATGGATGTTTAGTTTGTGTGTGTGCGTTTTTCTGTGTTTGTGTACAGGTAGTGAGGCTTTGCGCCGAGCTGATCACCCGCCTAAGGAGTCCTACCGAATGTGTAAGATCTAGAAAAACCGAAGTGAACGGAGAAGTTCATGGAGGTAGGTCTAAGCCCACTGGGGCTGTAGTGCCAAGGAAAAAAAGACGTGTCTGATAATTTCTGAACCAATGCTAAAAGTGTCTGTTATGAAACACTTCGCAGGATATTGTGCAAGTAAGAAAATTGCGATTCTTCATTTTTACAGGATTTTGAATTCAGAAGCTTGTCTATCATTGATATCACCAAAGATGCAGTGCCTTGTGATGGTGATCCTGCTGATGTGCTGCTTCTACATAACAGATGCCTACAAAATCCTATGTCTCTTCCCGCACGTTGCTAAGAGTCACTTCATCATGGCTGAGGCTCTACTGAAGGGGCTAGCTGCTAAAGGCCACCAGGTGACAATGGTCAGCCACTTTCCACAGAAGACTCCAATACCAAACTACAGAGATATCAGTCTCGTCGGATCCATGCCAGAATTTGTGAGTCAGATCCCTCTGGACGTGGTTGCTACAGGTTATGTTCACACGACTGTTGGCTTCCTCGCATACATGGGCTACGTCAACTGTGAAAACACACTGGAGTTTCCTGCAATGAAGAAATTCATCGCAGAAAATGAGAAGTTCGATCTGATCATCACCGAAATCTTCAACACGGATTGCTTGCTAGGATACGTTTACAGACAAAACACTCCTTTCATTGCTTTGAGTAGTTCGGTAATGATGCCATGGGCACATGCGAGGTTTGGCAACCCTGATAATCCATCTTACATGGGGAATCACTTTTTGTACCATGGTTACGAGATGTCATTTTCAGAAAGGCTTATCAATATGCTCTACCAGGAAGGCCTCAAAGTGGTGTATTATTTCATGTTCGAAAAGCCTGCCTACGAGATCGCCAAGAAATATTTCGGACAATCGCTGCCTCCTCTGTCGGATATCGCGAAGAACACAAGTCTGTTTCTTGTTAACTCTCACTTCACTCTGAATCAGCCTCGACCTCTTGTGCCTAATATCGTGGAAGTGGGTGGAATACATCTGAAACCACCGGAAGATAAACTTCCCAAGGTAAGGGATATCACACAAGTAATCCTTTGTCATTTGTATAAAATTCATCATCATAACACTAACCATCTCCATCGGCCGCGCCATAGCTCAAGCTGTTAGTCGCTGGCTTCCCACCGCTGCGGCCCGGGTTCGATCCCGGGTCTGGTCAAGTGGGATTTGTGGTGGACAAAGGCGCTGGGGCAGGGGTTCTCCGAGTACTTCGGTTTCCCCAGCCAATCTTCATTCCACCAATTGCTCCACAATCACCCTCACCTATCATCTGGGGCTGGTACAATAGGCCAGAAGTGGCTGCAGTACAAGGGACTTAGTCCCACCCCACTAGCAATAAGAAAACCATCTCCATCACATCTTTTCTTGTAAAAAGTGGAATATGGGCTTCAAAATTTGTTAGCAGCGTGCAGCATAAAACTTTAAACATGAAACCAAATACTCGTCAACACTGGTCCCTCCGAATATATCTATGCATACAATTTGCCTTTCTTTAATATGGGTTTATATTGTCAACTGTATTAGTGACTATAGACGGGGTTTGGGTTGGTGAATAGATTTATTGACCACATACAGGTCGTAACTACAAATAATTATTGCACTATTGCCGATTTCCACACTACAAATCACTCGGCACTATGTCTTCTCAATTTATTTCCACTAGTCTTTACTTGGTAACAGCTCTCCACAATGGCTATTGTCTTCAAGATAACTCATCGTCACGGACCCCATAGAAAACAGCTTCCATTGTTGTAGAAGCGTATTTACCCCGTCGTTACATAAGAGTCGCGGCGCGGACCACATAGAAAACGCAATTCCTCTATTTTACGGACGTTACCTAGCAACGGCCGATGTTTACAGAGTCATTATTTAGCAACAGGTCTATGCACCACAACATTTATACAATAAGTGTGGAAAAAATACATCATTCTTAAATTCTCAAACCATTTTACAATTATTTTCTGCAGAATTAATAAGCAGAAAGTCGTGCAAAATACGTAAAATATTATTATTTAACTGCAAATGGGTTTTCATCCGGTGGCAGTGGTGCTGCAATAAGACAGCAAACAAAGGACACACTTTTTTTTTATTAGCTTAATGTGGAGCGGAGTCCAACTGGGTCCACTCGGCACGGCGGCCACTGATTGGCCTACTGTAGTCTGCCCCGGGTGATTATGATGGAGAATTTGGTGGAATGAAGATTGGCAGGGGAAACATAAGTGCTCGGAGAAAACCCGCCCCAGCTCCAATTTGTCCACCACAAATCCCACTTGACCAGACCCGGGATCGAACCCGCGTCTCCGCGGTGGGAAGCCAGCGACTAACCGCTTGAGAATAACACACCTTAATACAATAAGACAACAGACAAATAACACACATAAACACGTTCAAACAAAACCCAGCACACAAATGAAGATTCGTTATTTCAAGATTTATTTTGAATTGTAAGAGAATACTGCCTTATCAGCTAATGTATTCTCTTTTCTCGAAGAATGAGAGAATAAGAAAAAATATAAAGCACTCTGAACTGCTTTAGTATATCTATACAATAGTTAGGATCAGGAAGAGAAAACATTTCTGTGCTGATCCTACTACCAATATCCTGATAACACCTTGCCTTGGTTCCTCTCAAAGCCCTGAGACTGAAACTAGCCCAGCCATTGTTCTGTAATGTGTTTTACGATGGTACTAGTCTCAAGATTATATAATGTCGAATAGTAGGATGTCTTGTGAATAATGAATTTTAAATAATTCGAAGGAAAGGTCGTGACCTAGTAAGTTATTATCCTGGAATTTGTTTAAAGGAATTGTAGAAACTCACGAAAATTCTCGGTCAGTATGGCCACTATCCCAGCGGAGATGTGAACCCAGGGCTCCCCCTTCCCCTACTGCAAGTCTCGAGCTTTCGCACAACTGCAACCCAATCGCCATGTTGTGGTATATGCATGCGAACTGGCGGTACCAGTCTCTGGGAAATCATGCATGTAATATTCATACTTCAGTACGTGACTTCAAACATCAGCTGGCATTGGCAGTAAGTAGACAGACTAGTAAAATATTTACCGAGATTTCAAACCAAATGTTTCGCGTTAAAACGTAAATTGAGGTTTGAAGTGATTTGTTTCCTTGATACTGTCAAAGACAGTGCCCTACTGAATTATACATGCACTACTGCTCCGAACTGATTTTATTATAATCACGAATTTCGAGGTATCCTTCACAGAGATATTGAAGCGTGGACTCCAGGAAGAAAAATCCCAATTCGCCGTACCCAAAATTTGGAATATAGTTAACTCTTTCACTGTCAAATATTCTTCGTAAATCTCACTCAGATCTGTGTTTATAGGACAAAAGCATTTAAAAATGCTCCTTAAGAATCGTAAATTTCATTTCAGATTACTCAGAGTATAGAGATACGAAATTAGATCATCCAGAAAAACTTCAGTATACGAGTATACTGACCAAGACCGCCTCTGTGATCTAATGGTCAGAGTTCCTGGCTACAGATCCAGAGGTACGGTTTCGATTCCCGGCGCTACCAGATTTTCTGAGAACTAGTTGGTCTGGAACGGGGCCCACACAGAATCGTAAGGATAATTGAGGGCCTATTTCAAGGAAATAGCTGCTCCGGTTTAGAAAACCGAAATTAACGGCCTTGGGGATTCGTTGCAATGACCTCGCGACACCCTCCATCCGCTAAAGTTGAAACTAAATTTGCCGACAATCGGCGGTCGCTCGGTCGGTATAGCTCGCTTGCGGACTAAAACAACGGAGTATGCAGCGGAAAATACAGTACCAAGATTCATAAAACCGTGAAGGTGAAACAAATAATACAAATTTAATTTACAATCCTTTTGAAATATTCATACTACACCATTGTTGCAAATATTATTAGTTCCATTATCGACACAGTATAACACAGGGAGATTGTCCTTGGCTCACTACATCAGTTGTACCAACATGCAGCAGTAAGTAGGCCATGTAAATGTTTAACATACTGACTCACGTGATTATGACCTATAGTCGGAATATGGTGCGAGGAACTTGTGAGATTACGTAGAATTTGTGTGGCGATAGAAATACCTTCACTGCCGTAAAGTCAGTTATGTTCTTTAATAGACTAATATTGCGATTTCATTCTTTCAGCAAAGGCTCTACAGTCCTTTGTTCGGTCCTAGTTTCCTTCAGTTTCGTAATCTTTTTTGCACAGACGGTAGGACTCCTTGGACGAGTGATCAGCACGTCGCAAGGCTGGTACCTACACACAGAACAGCACAAATACAGAATAAACGCATACACAGACATCCATGCCTTGAGTGAGATTCGAACCCACGATCCCAGTATTAGAGCGGACGAAAACAGTACATGCCTTCGACCGCGCGGCCACTGCGACTACTGGCATTGCTATACAGTTACCATCCTCATTCCTCTTACTTTATATTATTATCACAAACATGCCAGAGTTACAAGTGAACATAGTCTGGGTACTGGAGCATTCACATTAACTGCCAGGGAGAGGTTCGAAACCAGAGATAGACAATAACTCCGTGTTTTAGTCCGCAAGCGAACTATTTAATAAAATACATAAATTTACATTTTCCCCTGCATTCAATTTTCATGTTGAAACCGGACATAGAATCTTACATCACAGAAAAAACATTAACGGTTATTAACTTTAACATTGGATCGAAAATTGTTACAGTCTGTCTGAATTCTGCTAATTACCTACATAAAATTTAAAGATCCTCAGTATAATGTGCAGTGTCCTTCCATAAGCGGAGGAAAAAACTCCATTATTTTAGTCTGTAAGCGAACTATACCGACCGAGCGACCGCCGCTTGTCGGCGAAGTTTAGTGCCAACTTTTGCGGATAGAGGGTGTAGCGTGGTCAGCGCAACGAATCCCCACGGCCGTTAATTTCGGTTTTCTAGACCGGAGCCGCTATTTCCATGAAATAGCTCCTCAATTATCCTCACGAGACTGAGTGGAACCCGTTCCAGACGCACTACTTCTCAGAAAACATCTGGTAGCACCGGGAATCGAACCCGGACCTCTGGATCTGTAGTTAGGAACGCTGACCACTAGACCACAGAGGCCGTCATAAGCGTAGGAAAAGCATTTCATAAATAGTACATTACAGTACGTGGTTTGACAGCTGTGCAGCGTTGAGGCGTTGTGGACGGAAGAAAGTATTAATGGCTTATCCAGTGACTTGCAGTTCGCGAAGAGCTCCTTCCTGCAGCTTCACTGTATTGCGATAAGAACAAGCATAGGACGAAACGGCCTTGCATGTACAGGTCCACCAAAGATCAACGTATCAGCCATAACTGAACCTGCAGAGAATACACTGCGACAGCTGCGCGACGCGTCTTCGCATGTCAGTACCAGTAAACATTTTCCAAGGCACAAAACACGTCCATGCAGTTTTGATGTCTATTGCCAAAGTAAATAAATGAAGATTTGCGGTTTCCACGGTGATGATTGAAGAATGCCGTCTTCTGAGATGTGGCGAAGTGTAGATATTGTTTAAACCGATGTTTCGGAGGAACATATCGCCTCCGTCTTCAGGGTATAAAAAATTCGCGAGCGAGGAACAAAGGTGAGCCGGTGG